CATTACAAGGCCTAGTGCTCGACGAGGAAGATCCGAATGTGTATATTGTTGAGTGGCCTTTTTTCCTTTTAGCTATTTTGACCAATTCTTCTGCGATGGAGTTGGCTTCACGGTAGATGTGGTGAAGATGCATGGTTATGTCGCTGCGAAGTGCTTGGATTTGATGCAATTCCATTTTTACTCGCCAAGGCCATTTCGTACCTTGTGTAAGCCAATATACTATAGCTTTGGAATTGGTTTCAGTGACAACATGTTTAATTCCATATTCCTTGTAGAGATGCCAATTTAAGCCCTTCTAGAAATGCATGAGCCTTGGCCTCAAGATTAGTGGAGATGCCCAGAAAGATGGATTTTACTATAATGACTCTTCCAAGCATATCTCTGATGACTATTCCACCTCCGGCACATTCCGAATTATGCAATGAAGATCCATCAATGTTGAACTTAGCTCCTTGCAGAGATGAGGTCCAATAGACAATTTGTGTAGCTTTTTGTCTTGTTGGAAGTAAGGATGGAAGTATTCCAATTTAGATAAATTGATGGTCAATCGATGATGATGATCGGAACAATGTCTAAGTCAAGAAACAATGTGTAAAGTGTGTCCAGGTGAAACTTCAAGTCGATTCCAATCTAATTGGTTTACATCAATATTGTACTCATTGTATTTTGTTTTGCTAAATGAATTGGAATATGAAATTCATTTGGGATATTGGGTTGCATGTATTTATTTTCTTTTACAAGTGCCTTCTTAAGTGTGTCATTGACACGAGAAGGAGATTGTAACACAAGATACTTCCACGCACATGCCTCCAAAAGAAGAGAAGTCAACGAGATAAAAGGGTTGAAAGACAACCAAGGAATGTGGTGTACCGAGAAACCCGAACTAGAAATAATTATAGTTGATCATTTTGGTGATTTATTCACTGCCAAGGCCACACAAGAAGAGGATCTAAACTTTGTGCTATCTCTCATCAGACCGAAGGTAACGAGAGAGTTCAATTTGAGGTTGAAGCAACCCTATACAACATATGAGATCAAAAAAGCTTTGAATCAAATGCATCCCACAAAGTCTCCAGGTCCCGATGGTTTGCCTTCTTTGTTTTTCCAAAAATTTTGGCCAGTAGTAGGTACTGATGTTACACATTACATCCTAAACTTTTTGAACTATGGCTCTTTCGACAAAAAACTAAACAGCACACACCTAGTTTTAATCCCAAAAATTAAATCTCAAAAATTTATTTCTTTTTTCAGACCCATCTCTTTGTGTAATGTTGCCTACAAAATAATTTCAAAAGTTTTAGCAAACAGAATGAAAACAATTCTTCCAAAAGTAATTTCTGAATCCCAGTCCACTTTTGTACTAAGAAGGTTGATCACTGACAATATTTTGATTGCCCAAGAAATTCATCATGAGATTTGCAAAAAAATAAATGGAAAAGAGGGCCTCATGTCAATCAAATTAGACATGAGGAAAGACTTCGATAGGGTAGAATGAAATTTGTTTTGAGAGTAATGAAGGCATTAGGGTTTTGTTCTGGATATATAGCTCTTACTGAGAAATGCCTAATCTCTACTTCATTTTTCCTTTCTACTTAATGGACAAGAGTTTGGCTCACTAATCCCATAACGAGGTATAAGGCAAGGGGATCCTCTCTCCCCTTACCTCTTTTTAATTTGTGCAGAAGTTTTTTCTTTGATGATACAGGAAGCACAAAGATGTGGAAACCTCCGCGGAATACAAGTAGCATCCACAGGTCCAAACATCACTCACCTATTTTTTGCAGACGACCCATTACTTTGTGGGCGAGCAACTCAAATAGAAGCATATGCATTTTCAGCAATTATACACTTGTATGAAGCGGTTTCTGGACAACTGATCAACCTGGAGAAGTCAGCATACATTCAGCCGGAACACTCCTGCTGAAGTTGCAACATAATTGGCAGCGAGACTTGATGTGCAACAAGTGGACTCCTATGGAAAATATCTGGGCTTGCCATCAGTCGTAGGAAGGAAAAAAGAAAAAGAGATCTTCAATGACATAAAGGACAGAATCCAAGCAAGAATAGAAGGCTTTGTGGAAAAGACTCTCTTTCCAAGCCGGGAAAGAGGTTTTAATCAAATCAGTAGCCCAAGCTATCCCCACATATGCAATGAACTGCTTCCAACTCCCAAACAGCCTATTGGAAGAGATCCATTCGATTCTAGCTAGATTCTGGTGGGGCGAATTGAAGAACAATAGGAAAATACATTGGTGCTCCTGGGAATCTCTATGTAAGCCAAAGAGTGAAGGTGGTCTAGAGTTCAAAAATTTGAAGTTTTTCAACCTCGCCCTACTTGGTAAGCAGGCTTGGAGGCTTCTAACGAACCATAGACCGTTGTTGTATCAAGTTCTAAAGGCTCGTTACTTTCCAACTGAGACTTTCATGAATGCTAAACTGGGTTCACGACCTTCATTCAGCTGGAGATCAATCTTACAGGGAAGGAACGCGTTGCAAGCAGGTTGCAGGAAAAGAATAGGAAATGGGAAATCAGTTGACATTGGGAAGACGCGTGCCTCCCAAAGCCATTCTCTTTCAAAATTTCCAGCCTAAGGTGCCCATTTGCAGGGAAAACCACAGTTGATTCCCTCATTAACAACGACACTGGCACATGGAACCACAACCTGCTCAAGCATTTGTTTTGGGAGGATGAGGCTGACATCATCGCAAGCATCCCTCTCTCCACGACGACAGAGAAAGACTTATGGTTATGGCACTATACTACTCACGGAAAGTACATTGTCTCAAGCGCCTGTAGAGTGTTGCAGGCACATCCTAGATTTCAAAATAACCCGTTCACAAGTAGCTCAAATTCTGACAAAGAAAGGACAGTTGGAACGAGCTGTGGAGCATCGACATCATTCCAAAAGTGAAACATCATCTATGACGTTTGCTCACTGACTCCTTGGCTACTAAAAAGAATCTTCTTCAGAGGAAATCAAAAATGACAATCAGTTGTTCCACGTGTGGAGAGCTGAGGATTGAAGCCATGTCTTCTTCAGCTGCAAAACGGCCAAAGAGGTCTGGCTGGCCGCTGATCTTGGCCTTCAAGTGTATAAGCTAACACATTCTGAGATTGTGACCCAATTGGGAGACCTCCTAGACTTCCTACCAAGGAAACAATTGGGACTATTTGCAACCATCTGCTATAATCTATGGTATGCAAGAAACACATTGATCTTAGAGAACCACGCATTCATGGCAAAAACAACCCTGCAAATGAGCGAAAGCATGCTGGAATCATGGAACAATGCACAATTACACCATTTCCTAAGCCCACCCATCAGAGAAAAGCCGGAAAACTCCCCTGATTTCATGCACGGCACATGCATATTGTTTTTTTATGGCAGAATCAATCCGGCGCTGAAGCTGTCTGCAGTAGGAATACTAATCTGGAATTGTTCCACCGGCTTTGTTGGATGCTATGCGAGAAGCTATGAAGGACTATTTTCCCCAAGGTGATCGAAGCCCTAGCAGTACGTGAGCAGTGAGGCTGGCAACTGCAACAGGCAACCACCAATTCACCCTAATCGGCGGTTCATCATCGGTAATTCACCCACTGATGTCTGATGACGTCGACTTATCAAATTGGGGACTAATAGTATCTGATATCAAAGCACGCTTTCAAAACCATGTAGAATTTTGCAGCAAATGGGTTAACCGCGGATTCAATGTCTTTACTCATGCTTTAGCTCAATTTGCAAATTCCAAAAAGGATTTTGAGAAACATTGGGATTCCATTCCCGCCTTTGTACCCTTTTCCATTTTGGGTGAATTCCTAATAAATTAATATATTCCACTTTTCTCAAAAAAAAAAAAAAAATCGGATTTTACAAATTCGAGTTTAATAATCCACCCATCCCCCCAAAAAAAATCAACATTGAGATTTTAGCAATTTCACACTATATTTGGTTGACTTTGGGCATGGCCGTTTAATACTCCACTCGTTTCACATCCAAAAATCACGCAATTGCTAAAGTTTCTTGCTAGTTTGTTCAGCACTGTTGGTTTTCCGATTTTAATTTATTTATATTTAAAACCTTAAATAGATTAAATAGGTTAATTTAGTTAGCTTCTTCCTGAGTCATTTGATCATAAAAAAAATTTACTGGTGAATACTTAAAATTAGTTTGTGCACTGCTAGAGTGTATGGTTGAATACATCTTGATTGAATAAGTATATGATTTGCAATTCATTTTAATATCTGATTTTAAGTTTATAAGTTTAAAATTGCAGCTCCACGGCTCCAACAGTCCAACACATCAGGTCCTAACTGAAGTGATAATTCTTCTCTCTCATCGCCCCTTTAATTACCTCAAAGAAAAAGAAAATGATCCCAACACTATGGTGACCTTTAGCGGGAAGAACTCCGAAAGGGTGCATAATATATATAATGAAAGACAAACTAAAGATTTACTAGACTTACATTACATGTACAAAGGATTATAAAAGTGAGTGTATGATATTGTCAACCAAAATAGAGGAAGAATATGTGTCTAGGGGGGAAAAAACAAAAGAGAAATTTGTGGTCTTATTCGTTACAAATCTTGTCCTAAAATATTATTCAATCTAGATTTTTACCTTTTAGTACAGTTTGTACTTAAAATAAAAGTCCAAACTAGACATCTATTCTGGTACGGAAAGAGTATTATCATCAAAGACATTTCAGCCGAAATGACCAAGTATGTCGTCCTTTCGTCCGCTCTTCACTTGACAATGCCATATATTTTTTCCAATCCTCAAGCATCAACTTAAGACGATCTACCTTCTCTAAATCCTTACAACAAGCAGCATGCATTGTGCAAAGAAGATTGAGATCACTACTACGTGGACATATTCCCCCATAAAAATTTGTGTCCAAAAGCTTTATCTTGATTCCGATTCTCTCTATCCAAGGATCGATCATTATCATATTAAACACCGCTTGATCGTGTTTGTGACGATACCTTGCGTCACGCCACCTCGCATTAAGCCAAAACTCATAAAATTGGACCGTCCGGTTATTCGATTTCACATAATAAAATCCAGTATTTGAGATGTTATTACCATCACTTGAAATCTGTATGTCTGCGTCTTGTAGAAAATGCAAAAATGGATCTCGAAACCACACAATATCTGTATCCTGCAATTACACAAAATTAAGACACAACACATATTTCAATGATTTTATTAAAAAAATAAAGCTAATTGAAAGTGCATGTATGTTACCGTGAAAAGGATATTGTAACCGAGCTGAAGAATATCGTAGACAACTTCAATCTTTCTCCAAACCAGCCTCACATAATCTGGTTTCATGAAAAATGCCTCTTGCACCGAAAAATCGATCCCTTGGGTCTTAAGTGCATAACAGTGTGGGAGCGATTCCGAACAACGGTTGTATGATATCGGATCAAGTGCAATGACCACCAAATGATTCAACAACTTTTGGGTTCCTATTCCAATTTTGAAACTATCCAGAAATATGTCAAATAATGAACCTGGTTTTGTCCATGCTGCGTTTACAGTTGTAACTATCACTGTTTTGTCCTCCATTGCTGCCTTATTTAACACTTTCTCTAATTTGGCTTCCTCCGTTTCTTCACTTGTCTGCGGCAGGGATAACAAAAAGGATTAAAAGGTCTTACTAACTTAAATTTGAAACATAAAATTACACTCTTTTTTTTTTAAACCCTACATAACTTTGTGCATACACTTTGAATGAAGTTTCAAAATTAGTTTTCTTCTTCGCTATCACTGCAATTCATGGACAATAATTTCATTTTAGAAAATCCAACTAATCCGAATGCAGTCTTTCGAACCAAGTATTGATGTATTTCGAATCAAATGATTTAATTTGCAGCTGAAAATATAACTCTTCCGTCCATAAACAGTTGTCTAGTTTGAATTTTCATTTTCCATACAAAAATGCACATAACAATTATCTTGGAATGGAGAGAGTAAAACTTACTGGTGATGGAGATGGAGGCACATTCGCTTGGTCTTGCATCGATGGAGGAGTAATATTAATCCCTGGATTTTCTCCGGTCGGTGAATTATTATTAGGTGATGGAGGTGGAGGCACATTTGCTAGAAGAGTTGATAAATTCCCAGCAGATACACTATAATTTTGACTTGCTTGTGTAGTAAAAAAATTAGTAGAAGTATTTTCATATTGTTCTAGAGAAAATGGATGATATAAAATGGGAATATAGTAATCAAAGTTAAGACTAGAAGCATGGTAAAACAGCAAGCATGAAAAAGCAATGGCACTCAGGTAAGGAATTGTCTTCCTAATTCTCGTTGAAATGTGGTGGTGACGTTGACTTTGGAAGTCGTCGTGGTTGTGGCGGCCACTGATCTGGTCAAAAGGGCTTCGGTGGTGGTTGTCGGCACTGCTGGATTCCAACATTGCCTCGTCGCCGTCGCCCGAAGAATTCCGGCTACTTGATTCTCCTTCCATGATCAGTTCTATCACTAAATATTTTGTTGCATGGAATGATATAATAATAAGAGCATAAACTAGACGAGTTTATAGGTAACTAACAATACAATTATGAATTAGAGAATCTTAATTAGCACGATTTAGAGAAGAATATTAATTCTTTAAATTACTGTGGAAAGATGGAACCGGAAGTTAAGTAGAGTTGCGAGTGCCATAATTCAGGGTAGTAAAAGTACACCATGTGCTATGATCCAATTTTCCTAGGACTTAAATCCAGATCATGAATCACGAACTACAATTCCGGAAATCTAATCTTGACTGTCAAGCTTGCTTATAAGTAGTTCAAAGATTTGCAAGGTGAGAATGTCACATAATATATTCTATGTTTCTTGGTTTGTACGCCACATTTCTACATAAGAATAATTCAAGTTGTTAAATTATGGTTGAACAGATAATGAGATTTTTTTTAGTAACGCCGAGAACCCCAACAAGAGAAGAGTAGATTTACTTTGCAAATACCTGCAAATGATAGTTGGACGTAAACCACAATAACATTCTCTAGAGAATTCACGTATTAGTTTGTCAGAACAAGTTCTTTACAGGTGTCTATAGGTAGTAAAACTAACCATTTCTGGTGTTTGAGTGAATTAATACCTTCTTTTGAGTGTAAAATTAATTTTACAACTGATTAATTATAAACCAACACCTCATTTTCTAATATACTTTACTTATGCAACAATTGATTTTCAGTTGTGAATATAATGTACCAACACTTATTGGGCCGAAGGTTTAATTAGAGGCTTGGTACAAATTAGTTTTCAGATTTGAGTATTGGTAAATGGAATGATGTTGGGAGATTTTTACGCTAACATGGATTTTGACATGTATAGTACTCATATAAAATATTTCATAGTTCTTGTACACCAAAAAGAACATGATAATTGATGATATTCTTCCCTCACAGGAAAAAAAATAGTCCAATTTGTTGAATTAGAGCTATGTAAGAGAAGATAATATGTACCGATTAAATATTCATTCGAAGTTACCTATTCCGTGGAAATGCCGAGTGAGATGAAAGGATCATCAATCAGATCATTTTCAACTTTTGAGTTTTTCAATCGCTGAAAATTAATTTTGCATGCGTGGAGAAGTAAATCTTGGAGAAAAATGTTTTCAACGAAGTTTGGGATTTAGTTTGATCAATCACATATATTTTTGGGTTGAAATAAATGGAGTTGTGATTTTTTATTTTTGTGATTTGTGTATTTATTTGTTATGATTATTTTTTTTGTTTTGGTGGGTTTAAGTTCGAATTTGTCTGAACTAGTGTTTTAGCCGTGCGTTGCACGGTGAGCAAAGTAGAATTAAATTATTCTATGTTTTTTAAACTAAATATGAATATATAATTTCAACATATAAGAATAAAAACGAAAGTGTATAATAGATATTATAGATGCTTGTAATTAAGATAAAATGGACAAAACTAAGGGTATATAAAAATGTAAAGTATTTGTGCCATTATTAAAAAAAATGTATCAGAAAAAAAAACAATACTTCTAAAAGCAACATATCATGAATTTTATATTTTCCAGTACTTCTTTGTAAACCACATTTGTCATCCGATTGTGAAATTCTCCATCCTTGGTACAAAGAAGGATTTTGAGATCTTTTCTGGATTTTACTCTTGAAAAAGCAACGTACAATTGCCCGTGAGTAAAAATTGGACGACGCAAAAACAACCGGAGTTCAGACAGAGACTGTCCCAGACTCTTATTTATTGTCTTCGTAAAGTATGCAACAATTGAAAATCGTCTCCTCTCCAGTTTAATTGGCATCCTCTCATCAGCGGGACCAATATTCATACGGGGAATGAAACATTTTTTTTCCAATATTAACTCCTGATATGATTGTCGCCTGAATAACTCGTTGTCCCAAATCATTAACTTGGAGCCTTGTACCATTACATAATCCTCCTGGTTGATATATGTTTCGAAGAATCATTATTGGGACTCCGACTTTTAGAGTTATTTTGTGGTTTGGCATCCCGAATATTTTATGGAGTTGAGAAATTGTGTCGTATAGACTGTATCATCATCCTGGTTTACTGACCTCGCGGTCATTTCTATGCAATCCGAATTATAATACACCGTTGCCTTGCCAGATAGGAGTGACAACATGTGATCATTAATAGCATCAACCTCATCATTTGTAGGTGCCAAGCTAGCCCTTTCATTGAAGAAATCTCTGACTTCCAAGTTGGACAAAATGTTGGGATAAATAGCATTGTAGATGGAGGCTATAGGAGTACCAGTTTGTTCTATAAAGAGATCTAATGGCATATCAAGTTCTACTTTTCCACTGTTAGGACCACCTGTCTTTCCTTCGCCAATATCAAGTAACCAATCAGAAAATTCCAGCAACAGCGTTCCAGATTTGAGCATCCTTAATATTTACAAAAAGAATAATCGGCTCTTAATCCATCTTCATTTTCACTTTTAATATTATGTCACTTTTGCATATTCATATCCAAAAGGTTTTACGGGAATTTTTTTTTTAAGGGAATTTACATCCTCGAGAAATCGAGCTTAACATTCGAAATATTTCATCGATGTTAATTATATAGAAAAAATTTAGATATTTGTATGAACGATAATTCAATAAATGTATTGTTTATTTACTAATAAAGTAATACTTATGCAATTGTTTTAATTGATGGACGTGTTGCCTCTAACAACACATGGGAAAAATATATTAGAAAACTTAATTCAACTTAATTCATAAGACATAAAAACACGCAATAAAACAAGAACAATTTGAATAATAATCATTGAAAATGGATATAAAAATACAAATTTTCTATTTAAGTATTTCTGGTAGTCTGTTAAAATTAAAAAAGAAAAAACTGAAGGTCCTATTTGATCTACATTTTCATCTTTAACTGCATGTCACTCTATATTGTACTGCTTAAAAGGTTCTTAGTCTTTATTAGGTTAAAAACATGGAACGATTTTGACTACAATTTTAGTATTTTTGGCACACCGTTGAACCCAAAAGAAAAAGAAAGATAGAAGAACAATCAAGAACTATTTGTTCAAAGATGATACTTATCGATCAATTAATAGTTTAGTATTTTTGACAACCTGTTCGAAGAAAAATCAACAAGCATCATTCCAACTTCATTTGTATTTTTAACATCATGTCACTCTGTATCGCAATGCTTGAAGGTTCTATGTTTTTGGTAGGGTAAAAATCTGCAATTGTTTTAGTTGCCATTTTAGTATTTATAACAACCCATTGTACCAAAAAGAAAAAAGAAAAAAAGAACCGGTGGGTCTCATTCCATCTTTATTTTTATCTTTAACAACATTTCACTTCGCGTTATCTCACTTAAAAGAATCTGAGTCTTTGGTAGGTGAAAAGATAATGATTTTGTCTGCTATTTTAGTATTTTTGACACCCCGTTAAACCAAAAAATAAAAAAAAAGAAAAAAAAGAAAAGAAAACCCAACTCCTAATCGATCTTCATTTTCGCTTTTAATACCATGTCACTTTGCATATTCCTATTTAAAAGAGTATAAACTTTTAATAAGTTAAAAAGTTACAACGGTTTTAGTTGATGGACGTGTTACCAATAACAACACATGGAAAAAAATTACATTAGAAAATTTGATCCAATTTAATTCATAAGACATAAAAACACGCGATAAAAAAAATAATTTAAATAATAACTATTGAAATTGTATATAAAAATAAAACTTTACTATTTAAGTATTTCTGACAGTGCGTTAAACGAAAAAAAAACATAAGATATCATTCGATCTACATTTTAATCTTTAACAACATGTCACTCTGCATCATCTTGCTTAAAAGGTTCTTAGTCTTCGGTAGGTTAAATACCTAGAACGACTTTGATTGCTATTTAGTATTTTTGGCACCCCATTGAACCCAAAAGAAAAAAAAAAGAATAATAAAGAAGATAAACAATATCAAAGATGATACTTATCGATAAATTAATAGTTTAGTATTTTCGACAACTCGTTGCAATTTGATTTCCATTTCTTTTATATCATACTACTTAAAGGTTCAATGTGTTTGGTAGGTTAAAAATCTGCAATGATTTTAGTTGCTATTTTAGCATTTATAACAACCCGTTGAACTTAAAAAAAAAAGAAAAAGAAAAAGAATCGGCGGATCTCATTCCATCTTCATTTTTCTCTGTAACAACATGCCACTCTATATTCTCACTAAAAAAGTTCCGAGTTTTTGGTGAGTTAAAAAATTGTAATTGTTTTGTCTGCTATTTTAGTATTTTTGGAACACTCGTTGAGCCAAAAAAAAAAAAGAAGAAGAATAAGCAAGAACTATTTGTTCCGAGTTTAGTATTTTCGACAACCCGCTGCAATAAAAAATTGGCGGGTCTTATTCCGTCTTCTTTTATATTTTTAACATCATGTCACTCTGTTAGTGTAGCAGACGAGCTTGCCAAAAAAGCGTCAATGAGAAGTACTTTATATTATCTTTCTTATGAAGATCTCCCAACAACCTTGCAAGGAAAGGTATATTTAGATAGGAACTGCTTCCCTTACTTAAGGGTTAGATAGGTTTATAGTTTACAGTGAATTGAAACAGAGATGTCATGGGATTAATGTGTAAATCTTTGTAAGACATTCTCGTAGTTTGATTTTTATTTCGGAACTTATGAAAACTGTCAGGGGATAGTTAGGACTATCTTTGTAAGACAGTTTATAGAATACTTTGCTTGAGAACCGTCATGGGGTTTTTTAAGAAAACCATCTGTAAGACGGTCTCTTTTGATTTGGGTAAGTCTTAAGCACTGCCTCTCGTAATTTTTTCTGAAAATTAATAAAATCAGGGGAATGCCCGCCAGGTACCGCCCTAGTTCACCTAAAAAGAAAAATCAGGTCACTCTTTATCGTCCTACTTAAAGGTTCCATGTTTTTTGTAGGTTAAAAATCTGCAATGATTTTAGCTACTATTTTAATATCTATAACAGCCTGTTGACCCAAAAAAAAAAAAAAATCGGTGGGTTTCATTCCATCTTCATTTTTCTCTTTAACAACATGTCACTCTGCGTTCTGACTTTAAAGGTTTTGAGTTTTTGGTAGGTTAAAAAATTATAATTGTTTTTTTTGCTATTTAATAATTATTAACACCCCCGTTAAACCAAAAAAGATAAAGAAGAAAAAAAGAAAAGAAAGAAGAACCGGCTCTTAATCCATCTTCATTTTCACTTTTAATATTATGTCACTTTGGATATTCATGTATAAAAGGTATTACGTCTTTAATTAGTTAAGAACCTGCAATGGTTTTTGTTGATGGACATGTTGCCAATAACAAATGATCAGTGATTTTATCTAATAATGGACAACGTCGTCGATAGAGTTCGGTCGGAAACTTAGTTATGAAAGAACCATCTTTCGACAAGTCTCATTCCATTTTCATTTTACTTTTTAACAGAATACCATTTTGCATCCCCCTACTTAAAAGGTTCCATGTGTTTTTTGGTAGGTTAAAAACCTGCAATGGTTTTTACTGTTAGTTTAGTTTTTTTTCGATCGCTCTTTGAGAGAAAAAAAAAAGAACACTCGGGTTCCCTTTCATCTTTATTTTCATTTTTAACAGCATGTCACTCTGTATCGTCTTGTATAAAAGGTTCTATATCTTTGGTAAGTTAAAACAAGCAATAGTTTTAGCTATTATTTAGTCTTTATGATAGCCCGTTAAACTAAAAAAAAAAAAAAGCGAGTGGATTTTATTCCATCTACATTTTCATCTTTAACCATATGTACATCGTCCTACTTAAAAAGTTCTGAGTCTTTGATATGTTAAAAAATTGTAATAGTTTTGTATGCTATTTTAGTATTTTTGACACTTATTGAACCAAAAAAAAAAGAAAAAAAGAAAAAGAACAAACTCTCAATCCATCTTTATCTTTAGTCATGTCATTCTACATATTGGTGCTTAAAAGTATTATTAAAATTGAATCTAAAAAGAAAACTTTGTTATTTTAGTATTTTTAAAATCGCGTTAATTTGTTAGGAAATTAAGGTTAATGTGATTTACCCATTGTTCATTTTTGTTGTCTACATATGTGATCGTTAATTTACATACTACAATTAACACAAACACAGCATGCACACTCATGTCAAGTGTGTTAATTAAAAGGTTCAACAATTAACTATTTACATTATAAAGTTACTATTTAATGAACAACCAATAAAATAAAATGGTTAAGTTAAAGAAAAATATTAAAAATAAAATATTAATCATTTTACTTTTAAAATTTTACATTGAATCCTATTCGTATCTAATTGACTAACACGTGTCCTAGAAAAAAATTTCATTAATATATATAGAGATATAGAGATATGAAAGGGTCGTCAACGGGTCTAATTATGAACGGGCCGTTTTCTGAGGTCTTATTTCATCTTAATTTCCATCTTTAATACCATGTCATTCTATATTGTCTTGCTTAAAAGGTTTTGAGTCTTAATTAGGTTAAAAACGGAAAAAAAAAAAAGAAAAAAAAGAGAGCTAGTGGGTCTCATTCCATCTACATTTTCATCTTTAACCACATGTCACTCTACGTCATCCCGCTTAAAAGGTTCTGAGTCTTTGATAGGTTAAAAATGGGCAATAGTATGGTATGCTATTTTATTATTTTTGAAAACCTATTGAACCAAAAAAATTAAAGAAGATAAAAAGAAAGAAAAAAAAAGAAACCAACTCTCAATACTTCTTTATTTTCATCTTAAGTGTCATGTCATTCTGCATATTGGTGCTTAAAAGTATTATTAAAATTGAATCTAAAATGAAAATCTTGTTATTTTAGTATTTTTAAAAGCCCTAATTTGTTAGGAAATTAAGGTCAATGTGATTGATCCGTTGTTTATTTTTGTTGTTTACATAGGTGATCGTTAATTTCCATACTATAATTAACACAAAGGCAACATGCACACTGATTTCAAGTGTGTTAATTAAAAGGTTCAAGAATTAACTATTTACATTATAAAGTTACACTTTAATGAACAACCAATAAAATAAAATGGTTAAGTTAAAGAAAAATAGTAAAAATAAAATCTTCACCATTTTAGTTTTATAATTTTATATTGAAATCTATTAGTATCTTAATTGACTGACACGTGTCTTAGGAAAAAAATTCTTTTAATATCTACATATATATATATATAGAGAGAGAGAGAGAGAGATAGAGATATGAAAGAGTCGTCTTCCAACTGGTCTCATTATGAATGGACCGTTTTCTGACGTTCTCATTCCATTTTCATTTCCATCTTTAACAACACGTCATTTTACATTATCTTGCTTAAAAGGTTTTGAGTCTTAATTAGGTTAAAAACTTGCAATGGTTTTGATTGCCATTTTATTATTTTTTGACAGCCCGTTGAATAAAAAAAATGAACACATTCATTGTAAAAGTATCCTTTGAGGAATAACTTCTACTATTCTATTTTATTACTTATAACCAAAAAAAAAACTCAGTTCATCTCATGTCTTTGTAACGCTAATGGGCATCCAGAAAGTAATAGAATGAAATACTACGAATTATACAATGCAATGGACAAGTTATTGGAAAATTTATTTTTTAAAAAAGTGAACCCTCGTTACCTCCCTTTCATAACTTACTATTCAAAAAAAAGTTTTTGAAACTTTATTACAATTTATAATTAAAGAACCCTTTTTGCGGCTAATCGAAAGAAAAAAACACACACATTTGTCCAAATTATTTTATTTGCCTAATATAATAAATTCATTTAACAATTCATAACATAATAAAATAAATACAAATTTGGTTGCAACTTTAAGTATTATGTTAACTTTCAGGTCATTTATCACTAATCTAAACTAATGGGGCCCATAATATAATTTTATAAACTTCACATTAAAAAACCTAACCTACCCATCATCTTGTCCCCTCCACCAGCCGCCGCCCTCACGTTTTTTTCTTTTTCTTCTCTATTTTGCAAAATTCCGATATACATGTCTTTCTGATTCTCTTCTGATTCCTCTCTTTCCCTTCTGATTTCCAATCGTCCTACAACCAGCCACTGCCGGTGCCGCCGCATATCCTACACAAAGATTACAGGAGGCATCTCTCGGATTCACCGATCTCCAATAGACACAATCATCGGAAATCACATTTAGATCTGATTTGTCATCAAGAATATGTAATTTTGGCAAGATTGGTTCAAAGAATGGCGGATGATAACGATGTGGGATGGGGCCGATGGAGGCGGTGGCGGTGGCGTGGCATGGCGGAAGACGTTGCTGAAGTTGATGAATGGTTGAGGAATGTGCTTTATGGGTTTTTGGATGAATGGCTAAAGTTCATGATTTCAGGGGGGAAAAAGGAATACCATCAGAGATGATTATTCGTTTGTGGATATAATTGGTGTATATCCAATAATGATTTCAACGACAACTATTATGGGTGATTACATTAAATTCAGGTGATATATCATGCCATCACCGGAGATTAAATCGTCGGAGTTATTTCACCGACGACAACTATTACTGATGAAATCGCCGCAGATTAAATCGCCCGGGTTATTTCACGGTTATTTGGTTGAGTTAAATCTATAATAGTCGGTAAAAAGGTAAAACCAATGATATTTTAAAAATTATCATAAATGTTTTACTATTAGGAAATTACAGTTATGAGATGTAGTACAACATTAGTAAAAAGTAATAAGCTAATAAAATGTTGACACATGGATTACTTTAATTTTTAAACAAATGAAAACTGGACACGTGTTTTTTGAAACTATTGATCATCTAATAGTGCGACATGTGTCTTGTGAGTAAAATTCTCTTAATATATCGTAAGATTAATGTATCACAAGTCAACTTATAGTCATTTCTAGGGGAAGCCGGTGTTACATATGAGTCAACCAATAAATAACCCTTAAAATGGATTGTATATTAGTAGTAGACCTAGTAGGTTATAATTATTTCCACCGGCTTTTATTCCATTGTGCCCGATTGACCGACAACCACGAACTCATCCCAAGGTCACTTTCCACTTAATTTGTTCAAATCCTTAATACCAACAAATGTTACCGGACGCAAACCGGGCATCAAAATTACTTGTGACGTTGGAGTAACAAATAAGGGATGTTAGATGTTGAGACAAATTAATTGCAATCGATTAAAGAGAATACTAGTCTTGTAGTAGTACGCTACATTGATACATACCTTTGCAAGTGACAAGTCACAACAAAAATTTTCATGTATCTCGCTGTCTGGTTGGACATTGCAAGGAAAAAAATGTTGTTCCTATCTAAATATCTATTGGGTATAATTGACGACGGGGGTAAAGTTTTGGGTAAAAACGACATTTTTTCCGACATTGCAATACACAAATTATCTAAACTTTCTGTAGGTAGCAGATTCAAGAGTTTTCATACGTTTTGCTTTCTCAAATTATTATATTTGTTGATAATTGGTAAAATGAAAAGTTTCCGTGATATAATTACGTCACTCAATATTTGACGAAAGTTAAAAGGGAAGAATTCATCAATGACATGAAAATTCAAATAATTTTGGGGTTGTTAATCTTTATTTGTCTTGTAACTTAGTGATTACTTATTGTTATATTGTTGGCGATTTTAATAAAAGATAAGAGGTCCATTTGATAGTTTGTACTAAACTTTAGGGAGGTAAATGTAGTTTTCCAATTATAAATCCATATCACCTTTTTTTCTTTTGAAGTACCGCCCAAAATTTCATTTCAAAATTTTGGCAATTTTGTCTTCCCCCTTCTTCAGCTATTATTTGACCGACAGAGGGGGAAGCCGGAAAAAAAATGAAACTAAAGAAGTAAACAAACTAATCAGAGGCACTCTACTCTCATCAAATCAAATCTTCATCAACTGATAGAGGATATCCAGTTCCGGGATTCAAAGGTATGCCACACAAGCGCACTGATCTATTAGCTTTTTGCTCTTTTATTTGGGGTGTTTTTTGAGCTCTTTTTTAAGATAGAAAAATTGATAGTCATCTTTGAATTCGGAAATGAATCATTGTGTTTTACCGGAAAGAAGAATGAATCGTAACGGGGTTGGCGAGAATCTCAGTTGGGTTGTCGGGAATCGGCTTCATACCGTTGCATTTGCAGAGATTCTCTGGAAAGAGCAAAGATTTAAGTTGGAAAGGGACGATTAACCAATGATTTTTATGGTTAGCTCTTGCTTCATCTTCTTGCAAATTGATATGATCTAATTAGATGTTTATTTCGGATTTGATTTATTTAGATTTGGATTTATGTTCTATGCCTGAGGCACGAGATAGATTGTTGAGGGTGGAGGATTTGGCCGCCATTTACACTCCTAGAAGGCGGTCGGCGGTTTTGGGCCAAAATCCACGATCAGAAGCCATCACCATTTTAGCTGATGACCGGATGGCGGAAACTCCCACAACACCATTCCGGTGGGGGGCAACACCATTGACTGGTTCCCGTAGTAGATTGGGAGTGACTGATGCTTCTGTTCTCTGGAGTGGTGGTAGTACTGAATTGCGCACACCAAGAATTATGCGAGGTACCGCATTGCAAATGTCTCCCGGAACAGCTACTAGGAGTGGGTATATATCTCGAAGGACCATTAGTAGCCGAGACAGTGGAGTAGGCCAAGACAATGGACGTATTGGTGCCATTCTGCCTCAGTGGTATCCGAGGATCCCTCTTGGAGACATCACTGAAACTGTCAGGGTAATGTCTCTTGACTTACTTGATTTCCAGCTGGAATTAGACCTTGACTAAATGAAACACTAAGGAGTTTTATGTACAATGTTTGTGCCATGTCAAATAACACTTGTGTTAACTTGGATTCTGCTTTATGAAGCCTTTGTATTTGGTATTTCAATTACATTATCTTTCTCTGTCTGAAACTTATGCTTGTTCTAACTTCTAAGTGAAGTCTTGGATAAATTACGTGTTACCTTGTAACCATTGTTTAGTTGCAGAAAAATTAAAATCTTTCGGTTGAACATTTGTAGTGAAGTCAAATCCTAAACTCAATCTTTGCGCTGATGCACTGCTAGGATAATAATCTGAATGATTTGGCTTGCAATTGATGTTGGCATATAGCTAAACTAGTGTTAGCTTGCTACCCTAAAATTTTCATGGCTTTTTGTGGGAGCTGATCTATGACGTCTGGTTTAGGTCTTCTGATTGCATAATGGTGCTCGCTTTCATGTTGTTGTCGATAATACTTCTTTGTATTTGGGTCCTAATGCTTTTTATGAGCTTCAGAAAATGTAAGTATGTTGAGGATGTTACTTTCATCTTATTACCGAATAGAGGCTCAATCTGTGTAATCTTTACTTCCTGATGTTATACCGGTTTGATCTGAAGTATGTTTTCATATAATCATGACAATCTCCTTGTTAAGGCAAAGAATCCTAATTGTTTGTTGAACTAGTCTAAATCCTTGATTGTCTCAGGCTGTCTGCTAATCCAAGTACATAGTCTTGTCCTGTCAGAGCATTCAGTTTCTATTAGCATTTGTCTCTAGTCAAGCTTTTAAATGGCTGGAGGATGATGACCTGAGCACCTTCCAGTTTGAAACATTATCTATTTTTCTTCAGTGTCCTTTTTCTGTTTAAAATTCTAAGACAATTCATTGCTGTTAGATGCGGAAATTTGTCTTTGTTTGAAAGTACAACTGTTAAACTTTTTCACCCATGTAGTCAATGCTACAGATTCATTACAATCCTGCTTCACTCTTCTCATATCAGCCTGCTTCCGTCTTTTATGAAAATGTATGTTTGTACATCAATCACATTTTTCATTAAATTTGTAAAAGCCAACAGGAAATGATGTTGAACTAGTACAAAACTTGTAAGATGAGGTCACATGGACTCCTGTCCTGGTTCTCTCTCAAATGTTAAAGTCTAAAATCATCTTGGGCAGTTGTTTGTTAGGAGGGAAAAAAATACAGCCAAGATTTGGATTAGAATCATTAGAGGAACTTATATTTCTGGTTCTTTTTGTTAGAAGACGGTGATTAAATCCTCTGAAGGTAAATCTTTGCACCAGGCTGTTGACAGAAGGCAAAGTAGATTGAGGGAAGATGAGCAACGACTTGGGAGTCCTACAGCTCAGTCGCAGATTGTTCTTGATTCTAAAGTTTCAACAGTTAATGCTCAACTCGAGCATGAAGCTTCTTTGTTCACGCCATATCAAAAAATTAAAACCAAGCCTTATCCTGTCTCCGTTGGTAAAGTATCAAAACTATTGCTTGATATCACCAGCCAAGACATCGGAGAGTCATCTTTCCTAACACCACAAAAGAAGCTTTTAAACTCTATAGACACCGTTGAAAAGGTAATAATGGAGGAACTGCTCAAATTTAAGAGGACGCCCATGGCAAAGAAAGCCGAGAGGGAAAGGAAAGTAAGGACTTTGATGTCAATGCGCTAATTTTGGAGCAACAGTTTATATCTGACTCAATCAAGGCTGAGTATAAAAGAAAAGCCTGAGTCAAGAGCTTCTAATCAACCGAGGTTGAGAACTAAACTCAGAACTCAGAAGCGCTTTGGAGGAAGGTAGAGAATAAAATCTGCCATATATGGTAATACAGTTCATGACTTTATGATCAGGTTTTCTGTTGAATCAACTTAGAAAAAGCCATGCCCCCTCCCTTTTAAGTTTTACCTCCCCACGCATTGATTTGTTGGTTGAGTTCTAGCATTGTAGCTATTTCTTTTAGTTCGATTTGTAGAAAATTTTGTTTCAATTGTAAAACTTGCTGGATTGTTTGCTTCCTGTTTTCATCTAGGGTGAAAGAATGTAAAAGATCTTTGATGTGGTTATGTATACTCTATCTTAGAATTATTCAGCACATCAGAGAAACTAACTTATGAGATAGTTATTAATGAGAACATTTCGCATCTGCAATTCATTGTAAGAATTCAGATTGGATGTTCAAGTGTTTTAATCTGTGTTGTCAGGCTCGGACCGGAGCTTGATTCGGCATTGGTTATGGGTCGTGCGAATCGGGGATCGACTCGGGGCGATTCGGGGTTGACTCGGATGATGTCATAATAACATAATAAATATTAATAAATTAAAAATTATATTTTTAATAAAATTTTATAAATTTTATATATTTGTCAATTATTCTAGTCAAATTAGTGCTTCAGAGTTCTCAAATCATTTTTTTTATAGAACACAATTATGACATTACATATACGATTAGTTTAATTAACTTTAATTATGATTAAGAAATTAATAAATTTGATGCACAATTGACTTTGATCATTAAAAATTTACATTGTATGTTTAGTCAATTAATATGGTTATAATTTTTTGTTTGCTTTAGTTTAAAATGATAAATATTGATTTATTTATTTTGTCCGCAAGTCTCAAATAATGATTTTTACTCAATTTAGTGTGTAGGATGTGGCTTGGATGGTTAAATAAATATTTAGAATTATAAATTTAAATTGAAGAGTTTGATCTCACAAATATACAAGTTATGGGTCATTAAAAACATAAAAAATCTAATTGGGGACCAAAAGTAAAAAATCAGAAATACACCTCAAAAGTAGTACAAAAAAATTTTAAAAATTTTAAAAATCAACCCAAAAGGTCAAAACCTGGTTCGATCCGGTTTTGACTAATTCTCGGTTCAATCGGGTTTTTTACTGGTTTTGACCGAATCTCAGACATGCAATTTTACTACTTGCTCGGTTCGATTTGGAGTCCAGTTTCCGGTTAACCCGGTTTGACCGACCGGTCCGAGCCGAGCTTAACAACACTGGTTCTAGTGGTGTAGTATCATTTCTTGACCATATCACAAATTTTCATTGATCCTATATGTTGAAGCAGCTGATTTGTTACGGAAAGAGTAATAAATTAATAAATACTAATATGATAATAATATGACCACCTCATAAGTAACATCAAGATGGTTACAACTTTTTATTTTTGTCGTTTTATTTTTACTCACTCTATCCTAGATTGATATTGTAGTTTGAATTTTTATCTATAAAATTTTATTAAAAATTAAAAATCAAATTGGATTATCATTTCACAGCACTTCACTTTTTCAATTTTCATTAGGGGCGTATTTTATTGAATTGTGTTTGATAGATTTATTAAAATACGTCTACCTAATTGAAACGCAGGGTTTACACAGAGCTACATGTAAACCCAGTCGCGCAACTTTGCGTTTACGTTGCCCCAAATCTAACCAAACTACTACTAAAAGACGGTTTTTTACCCCCGGATTTGACATCATCTTTCTTGACCATTTTATTACCAGTTTCATCAATTTTAGAATAGAGCTAAGTAAAATTCCCTCGCGAATGAGGTGTTGGTTCAGTGGTGACACCACCCTTATTCACAAGAGAAGGTCATGAGTTCAAACCCCCGTTCCTTTACTCTCAAGAGGAGGTCATGGGTTCAAATCCCCATTCCAACAAAAGTGAGGAAATGACTTTAACCTTGTCTAGTGACGGAACCAGCCCCGAATATTTGTAGGGTCGATTACAACTAGAAATTTTTTTTCCGAAAATATATTGAAAAATTTAAAGGTATTTTTTCAAAAGAATTTGCCCGCCGCAAGGTCGATGGACCCCTCTTGCTCCCCCCTAGGTTCGTCCCTGACCTTGTCAATTGGCATCTCTAGAGGGCTTGTTATGGCAAATTCACTCATAAACCCCCAATTTTGCACCCGATCTTGTCACCTCGAACTTACCTAGGATAGTTTACCTCCCACTGTGGTTTACAGGCTATTGCAGTGGGCGTGAGTTTACCCATCTGTGGTGGGGTTCCCGGTGTCACCTAAAAAAATTAAAAATTCCATCTTTTCCACTAAAATAGTTCACATTTTGTGAGTTGTACTATTTTTAGAGGCGTGTTAAAGGCCGCCAGGAAAAAGATAAAAACCGCCGTAAAAAAGACAATTTTGCTCTTTTCATTTGGTAAGAAAAAAATGATTAGACTTGTAGAATTTCAGGCCGAAATAGGTCGAGCCGGTAGAAATACCGTCCGGAATAGGTCGGGACAATGGTTGTGCCGTCCCGGCTTAGCCTAAACGGCATTTCTGCCGGTTTCTAGGACCAGGGATGGCAGTGCCACCGGCCATTAGGGCCGGCAGCTATGGCAGCCATGTTGGTCATGGCCGCCGCTCACAACGTCCAAATCAGCATGGGACGCTAGGGCCGCTTCCATTGTGGTGCGAGCCGGTATCCACACCGGCTCGCTTATCTCGGGCCAGTGTGTGTCGCGGCACGGGTAATTTTTTATTATTTTTTATTCAGTTTTATTGATTTATTTAATTAATTTATCGTGTTTTATTAATTATCGCATCATAATTAAATTGAATATGATTCATTTAAGTTCTTTATTCATGCAGATGTATTATTTTATGCCATTTTTGTTTTTTTAATTTGGTAAGAGTAATTAGGTATTCTATTAATAAGTTATTTAGAGTATATGTTTGGAATTTGCAGGATACAGCTGAAAACGAAGATCATAGTGTTTCTTTTAACAGTAATGAGATATTCCAATCAGAGGATGACGCTATTTTGCGCGCACAAGAGATTGCATAACTGCTCGCACTCCCTTCTTCCTCCATCTCCTCATTCACATTCCGACTTGAGGCCAGGACATTTCGCGAACGCACATGCCGCGCACTCGATTCTTTGTTGATCAGGCCAAATGATTCCTGCATTTAATCACTGTTAATTACACAACCAAATAATAACACTAATACAAATTATTTCGTTCAATAATATTTAATTCACTAATAAAACACATGACTCTAACTTTGTCCATTGACACTTCTAGAGGGCTTGTTATGGCAAACCCACTCATGAACTCCAAAATTCGTACACGAGCGCTTGTCACCTCGGGCTTGCCTAGGGTGGTTTACCTCTCACTGTAGTTTACAGTCTATTGTAGGTGTCGGTTTACCCATCTCTGGTGAGGTATCCGGTGTTACCAAAAAAAAAACTAATAATTTCATTAATTAGTAAACAATCAAATTATTAACAAATAAACTATAATTATTAACAAATAAACAAACTACATTAAACTAAATACTAATTAATAGTAATTAAAAGAACTAAAAAAAGTAAAAATTAAATAGTAATTAATAGTAATTAAAAATATATTAATAGTATAATCAATATTAATCATCTTAATACTAATCATATAACTAATTATATTAGTCATATAATTAATATTAATGTAAAGAATTTAAACTAATTAACCTCATTAAAAAATAAGTTAATTAATTAAATTAAAAGAACTAAATGAAATAAAAGAACTAAATTACACTAATTAAATTAAAAGAACTGAAAAAATAATTAAAAAACAATAAATAATTAAATTACTATTTATTCAAAAAAAAATGTCTGGCCAGGGACACTGCCGGCCAAGAAATAAGAAGACGACGACCGTGCCGTCTTCTTTATAAGTAGACGGTGACCTTACCGTCTACTTTTCCGATCGATGGCTACTAAGCTGTCGACTCTTCCCCTGGACGGTACCTGTGGCGTCCAACTTAGGGCTGGCAATTCGTGTGGGGTTCGGGTTGGCAGGTCGGGTTGAACCCGAACCCGAAAAAATTATATATAACCCGAACCCGACCTGTTTAATTAAACAGGTCGGGATTACCAACCCTAACCTGACCTTTTAAAAATCAGGACAACCCGGGTCGACCTGTTTAACCCGTAAAAAAATCAAAACTACTACAAAGCAGGTCCAGCTGTTTAACCAAAAAAGAAATAACCTGTTCAACCCGGGAAAAAAAAAGAGAACCACCATAAAGCCTAAACCAAATGTTTGAAGTATCCTTTACAATTCATCAATGATTAATATATGTCTCAAAAATACTAACAACCATAAGAATGTTTTACAGTCCATCAAATCATAGAATAAAAGTCTCAAATCATACAATACAACTCTAAAGGCAGAATGGCACCAATGAATTAGCGAACTCCAGCCAACAAGATTGGTTAAATGGCCAAAGACCCCTTCCGGTGAAATTGATTTTAGTCGAATTGAGCTGAGACCTGAAAAGAATCAAGATCAAATTGCCAAAGCCCCCCTTCCGCTGGTGAAATTTTTTAGGACAATACTACCTGAATCTCGGCCACCTCTTTATTTGGTGAATTCACAGGGATTGAACATAAACAAACCAAACCCACAACGAAGAGAAAGTAAGAAACTAAATAACTGGGAGAAGATGCAAGATCATGGGTATCAATTCAAGAGCAAGATGGAAGATCATTAGATCAATGGCTAAACCACTATCTCGGATAATTAGATGATTAAGATCTTAAGAAGAAGAAGAGTGGGAAGAATTTCTTTTTTCAAATTTTGCTATTATTTTGCTCGGATTGTCGGAGGCCGCCGCGAAGAAGAGGGGATCAGAGGGAGTGAATTCGTCAAAGTGTGAAGCATAAAATGTATATATATGTGGTGAAATTAGGGTTACTTTGTTGCAAAATTTCTAAACTACCCCTACAAAATACATAAATTACATACATACGGGTCACCCAGATAACCTGCCGGATTGATCATAACCCGACCCGTATATTAAATGGGTCCAAATTTCTAACCCTAACCCGACCTGTTTAATATGCGTGTCGTGTTCGTGTCGGATCATTTCGTATCGGGTTCGTGTCGAAATTCCGAGTCGTGTCAAAGATTGCCAGCCCTAGTCCAACTTTCCTGGGGACATGGCCACCAGCGTCCGTTCCTTCCTAGACGCCGATGCCGGCCACAACAGTTGACGGCATTCCTGCCGTCAAGTGTTGATTTGGACGGTGGTCATACCGTCCAAATCTATGGTTGGCGGCACGTGTGGCGTCCCAATCCTTTTTAGACGGCACCTCCGTCGGTCGGCCACGTTTCGGCCCTCACCGATGCCGGCTGATGGTTTCCAGATTCGGAAAAAAAAAATAAAAATTTCATATTAAAAAATTTGAAAATTCAACGATTTAAATATGTTTGGAGAAAACTTACTTGTTCCCGTGCATGTTTCCTGCGATCGCGATTTCCTCCGGCTATCAATATGAAGATTTGAGTGTTTGAGTATTTGAAGATTTGAAAGTTAAGTGTTTAAAGATTTGAATGTTGAAAGGAGTTTTAAATTTTGAATTTGAAATTTTAAATTTAAAGGTAAAGTTGGAAGTCAATAATTAGTTATTAGCAGATTATATCTTTTTTCTAGCGGTTTTTAAGCTTCCAGTATTTGTAATCCAAATCACAAAACACAATATAGACAAGTTTTCAGGAACAAAGGGAGTAATAGAGACAGTTAATGTATAATGTATAAAGATACAAATTTCTTTCACATTTAATTGAGGAGTAGAGTTGAAGAACCTACAAATTACCCCCACTTCAAACAATGAAAATGTAAAAGAAAGTGATCCAAAACAATCCATAAATTATGATCTGTTATGATATTCAACGTACTGTTCTCATTTAATTAGGCAAATCATTCTCCCAAGTAGTCAGGAAAGAAACCGGCCAAAATGCAGCCCAATGCATGTGACGAGTACACATATAGTTCTGGTAAAGAAAGGAAAACCACATAAAAGGGAAAAAAAAAAAAAGAAAAAGAAAAGCGAAGTGTCATTTTGGTTAGAAATGTTTTCTTTTTGTTAGTGAAACAACATAATTAATTGCTTCTTTCTATCTCTTTTACCCTATTAAAGCAGAAAACAGGATGATGATGTGGCAATTTCTTATTAAAAGGTTTTGGCTCCAAATGCACCATATTCTACAAACCATTCTGCCACGTGTCACCCTCTTTTAAAAATAAAAAATATATTTACAATATTAACAAATAAATCAGATGTCCATGTTCATTTTAATTTTGAATTTGACAGTGAATGGAACTTTCCTTCTCCACTTATTTAGGATTTTTGAAAAAATTAATTTTCGATCAATTAATTATCTTCATAAAAAACTAAATTCATTCCTAATCAGTTTTGATTATATTTACATATTAATTTATTAGGTGGGAAGACGCCCCGGGCATTTATTCATTTCTAATCAGTTTTAATTATTTACATATTAATTTATTAGGTGGGAGGACACCCCCGGACATTTGCCCGGGGCAAGCATCTAGTTTATATTAAATTAAAATTAAAGAAAAGATACTTGAAAGCTTAAAGTAAAATGTGACAGCGTAAACCAATATAATACAATGAAGGTATCATTTCCACTTATTTTATTTTTGTCCATTATATATTTTCTATTTTATTTGAGGCAGAAGTCACTATCTCAATTATGATTAACAGAATTTTAGTAGTTTACAATACTCTTCTAATGATTCTTATTTTAATCACTTCTATTTTCTAAGGAAAGAAATCAAAGTAACTAACCCAATATTTTCGTGAAATCTTCGAATTTTTTTTGTTTCTTTCTCTAAAATGTTTTTTTTTCCCCGAGATAGGCAAAGGCGGAACCAGCTAAGGGCCAGGGGGGTCTCAAGCCCCCGGGCCGGCCGGAGAAATCCATTGAGGTACATCCGGGCATGGCTTAGCTGGTTCAATTTTTCTCACTTAGCCCCCCGATTTAGTGGGAGCGATGGGGATTAAGGAATCCCTAACCAAAACCTTAAAAGATAATTGCAGAGCCGCATCTCAAGAAAGAAAGAGAAGGCTGATTTCAGAAGTTTGTATATTGCATATTAAACCCTTTTGCTCAGTAATATACCATAAAAGGCCCCATTAATTTACTTTATTCATTAGGTTGATGATAAATACATTTTTCTCTCTCTATCTTCTGAAGGACGGCCAGCCCCCCGAATATCGAGAGCTTCTTCCGCCACTGGAGATAGGAATATAGAAACTCTGTCACGAGATAGTTTCAAGTTTGATACCCTCCTTCCATCTTTCACTACAGTTTCTTTTCATGGAGATTTTCTCTCCTGTGTCCGTTCTTCTCTTCATCTTCCTAATCTCTCTGTACTTTTACATACAAGGAAAATCCAAACAGCCCGCCAAATCTGGCTTCAAAATCTACCCGATTCTGGGTACCTTACCGGAATTCCTCCTCAATCGCCACCGTTTTCTCGATTGGTCCTCTGAAGTACTGTCGAAAACCCCCACCAACACCTCCGTCTTCCACCGCCCCGGCGGCGTCCACGGAGTCCTCACAGCAAACCCAGAAAATGTTGAATACATGCTCAAGACCAACTTTGAGAACTACCCAAAAGGAAAGAGATTCATCGGCCTTCTGGAAGATTTTCTGGGTACAGGGATTTTCAATTCGGATGGGGAATTGTGGATAATTCAGAGGAAAACCGCGAGTTACGAGTTCAATACGAAATCCCTCCGGAATTTCGTCATGGAAAATGTCAAATTCGAGTTGCAAACCCGTTTGATTCCGCTTTTGGAGCAGGCGTCCAGAGCCGATAACGTTTTGGATGTGCAGGACATTTTGGAACGCTTTGCGTTCGACAATATTTGCAAATTAGCATTCAATGTCGATCCAGGATGTCTGGGAGGGGATGCGACAGAAGGGGCTGAATTCATGAAAGCTTTTGAGGATGCTGCAACTCTTAGTTCAGGTAGATTTATGTATGCTTTTCCGGGTCTTTATTTGTTCAAGAAATTCTTCAACTTTGGCTCTGAGAAACAGTTAAGGAAATCGATTTCCGTAGTCCATGAATTTGCTGATACTATCATAAACTCGAGACTTGAACAGAGGAACGAGAACAGAGATGAAGATTTGCTGTCGAGATTCATTGGCAAGTCAGACAATATTTCAGGAGAATTTCTAAGGGATATTGTTATAAGTTTTATCTTAGCAGGCCGTGATACAACTTCATCAGCCCTTTCTTGGTTCTTTTGGTTGCTATCAACAAGACCAGAAATCGAGGAAAACATACTTAAAGAACTCGAATTGATTCGAAACAGAGGTGAGAAAGTCATTGGGGATGGTTATGATCTTGATGAATTAAGGGAAATGCATTATCTTCATGCTGCAATATCAGAGAGCATGAGACTGTATCCACCAGTGCCAGTTGATACTAAAGCTTGTTTACAAGAGGATGTTTTGCCTGATGGAAATTACATTGGGAAAGACTGGTTTATTACTTATCACACATACGCTATGGGAAGAATGGAACAAATTTGGGGAAAAGATTGCTGTGAATATAGGCCAGAAAGATGGCTGGAGAATGGAATCTATAAACAAGAAAGTCCCTTTAAGTTTCCCGTGTTTCATGGAGGACCAAGAATGTGTCTTGGGAAAGATATGGCCTACATTCAGATGAAATCCATTGCAGCTTCTGTTTTGGAAAGGTTCAGATTTGATGTGTTGTTAGATAATGATCATGAGAAGTGTCCTGAGCATTTGTTATCTTTGACACTTAGAATGAAAGGTGGGTTATTGGTGAAAATGAAAGAAAGGTGAGTTTGAAAGAAAATGATGGGTTTGGTTTTGGTTTGTTCGGTTTAGCATTTTGTGTGCGAAGAATCAAGGAATCTGTGGTTTATAAGTATATACTTGTCCTGTTTAAAATCTTATGAATTGTGATGTTCTCCTGTGATTGAGGGTTGAATGTAAGTTTCACTTTTAGTTCCTCATACTTTCTCTATTCCAAAATTATTGTGTAGTTTGGATTTTTATTTATAGTTTAATTTATATTAAAAATGAAATTTCAAATTGAACAATAATTTTGGACGTTCCAACCTCCTAAAACATTCTAGAAATGTAATTAAATTTTTAAAATTATTGTCCACTTTGCATTTTCACTTTTAGTTTAATTTACATAGAAAATAGGAAATCCCAACCTCATAAAACATCCTCGAAATGTAATTATTGCCACCACCTTTGTAGTAGTAACAAGCTTGTTTCTTCCCCTTGTAAACTTCTTCCTAGTTTTGTACCTATTTTAGTGTAACAAAACAACTGATTTTATCTAACTAGGTTGCTCTCATCACTGAATGTTTCCTTACGACTTTCTTTCTTCTGAGAATAATTCATGAATTACTTCCCTACTCTCCTAGTTCTTCAGTTCCCCCGACCCCCCCCCCCCCCCCCCCCCCCTTGGGTTTAGATACACTACAAGAAAAAAATAGGTATTATGATACTTTAAAATACCTCATTAGCTAGTCTATTATGACACCTCTTCTATTGTGACATTGCTTGTTAGTGTGGTATATACCAGTGTCATTATAGCTTAATTAGTTATTAAAGCATTTACTAGTGTCTCAATAAATATTTATTGGGGCACTAAAAAATGCCATAATAGATTTGTGATTCTATAAAAAAAAATAAATAATTTTTATTAATTTACTGATAGTAAAACAAATGAAATATTATTCCATTAAATTCCCTATCGCTATATCTAATTACAACTGAATAAAATCTTACATGTATAGCCAAAAATTCTAAATCTAAAAACCAATTGCGAAACAACTAACTTGAAACTCTAATCTAACTGCTTTAAACTTCAGTAAATCCCACTTCACAAGCTCGAATCACATGAATTATAGCTAGCTACTCTTTATTTAAGGAACTCCAACTTTGAAGGAGTGGGGCAGCTAATTTCTGTACTCTTTAATTGTGTCTGATTGCTTTTGGAAAATCAGAGGGCAAAAATAATCTAGAAAAATCAATTAGAGGTATAACATAAAGCAAAACTAATGAAGTTTGTTAAAACATGAGTCGAGCCAACAAAAATTCATGTATCGTTTTGCAACAATCTCTTGATGCATCTCTTTTTGATAATCCTAAATTACCCAAAAGCCTTCCAAATTTAAGAAACCGATTTGCGTTTCTTTATACTCTTCCATACTTCACATATCTGATATAAAAACTTTGATGACAATGAGAAGAGAAAATAAGGATTCCTAATAAAAGCAACTTACAATTCTCCTTCCAAACGCAATCTGCAAACAATGAACCCAACATTCTACCAAACCTCAAAATTGAAGAATACCCTGAATACTTCAAAAAATTAGGAATTATGACAAACATGAGATTGAATAAAAAAAAATAATAAATTGAAAAATTTAGAGAGAACCTTTGGTACTGAATCTGAGTCTTGACAAACTTAGCATCAATGCCGATAGCAACCTCAAAAATCAATTGGAACAAAGATTCGAGAATAAAGTTATTTGAAAAAAAATATAAGTAAGACATTGATGTTTTTTTTTTTCAATCAGGAATAATCGATTAGAAAAACTTACAATATGGAATTTTATTTGATAATCCAAATTTCCCCGCAATCTTTATGAATCCGAGAAGAGAATTTCCATATTTGCATTGAAATATTTGAGTTCTAAACAAGTGAAACTCCTTATCTCTTTGCATTTGTTTGTGGAAGATATAAAAAAAGTGGAGAATATTTTATGGAGAAAGAGATGAAGTGGGTTGTTAAGAGTTTGATGAAGCGAAGGATTATGGGTGAGTGGGGAAGAATAACTAAAAATTGGGGTTTTGGGGAGTTATTCTGGCTTTTTAAAAATTTTGTTTTTTCGTGTTTTATTGCCTATTTCTTAAACAACTTTCAGCGTTGTTTTTTTTTTTTGGGATTTTTTTTAAAAAAATTAATTTTTCTATTACCCAATTGGTTAGTTTTTATGTGGTTTTTAACAAATGCCTTCTTAAATTTGTCATTAAAGATTTAATCTACTTCTAAAAACTTAAAATGCCTTAATTAACCATCTAGTACCACACTTTACTAATAATACCATAATATTCTTATTTTAATACGACACTTTCCTAATAATGCCTTAATATCTTTTTCTTTTTTCTTGTAGTGATATTCTTCTAGTTTTACATGAAAAATTTATTTGATTTATCTAAGTCAACCAACAAATACACTCTCTTGACAATTCTATAAGAATTGGATTCTGTTTTCTTACCAGGCATAGTGTTAACAACATAACAGTTTGTCGAAAAATTTGAAACAAACCAAGAAATTTACTTTTATGACAATTCCTATAAGAAATGCCTTCTACTCTTTTTTTTACCATATAGTCAGTTGTCCACGATCCAAAAAAATAAATTTCTTACAAAAAGTACACGTGTCAAGTTTTGGTGAATCCATTTTCTGCCCAAAACCTTACATTTACAAAGTTTTCGACTCAATAACTATTTTACATAATTTATGAAAAAAGTTTTGTGACCATTAATTAATACTCCATATACACAATGTAAGAATGACTTTAAATAAATTAGGAAAGAATCACATATATAAAATGTTTGTTCGGTTTAAATACATTAGGAAAGAATCACAAATTAGTGATCGTTAATTTAATGATTGACTGATAATGATTAGAGAATGATTATTATGATTGAATGTGGACGCTTTTTTTCTCAGTTATCCAAAAAGATGCAAATATGGTATTCTTACTCTCGTAGTTCACAACCTAAATCTAATATTCCTACGCACTAATGCTAACCGTTCAATCTTGCTAATTCATTTAACACTTTAAATCCTGGAAATAATGATCAAGTACTCACACAAATAAAACCAAGAATACTAAATATTAATCAATAAAAAAGTCACCGTATCATATAAATTAAATAAACCAAGCAATATGGAGGCTACATCTAAAACCCTGGATTTAAAATATTTAACTACTACTTATCATCTCAAAATAAAAATAAATAAAATAATAGAACTGGGGAGAAGAAACAGAGGCTGAAAAACTGTCCAGCCGTGAAAACAAATTCAAAGTTGTCGCGGTTAGTTCTATAGTGTGTTGATGCAGGAGAGAGGTGATGATGCGTAGAGGCTGGGGAAGCTGCCGTCGGTGAAGGACGTGGTCAGGCACTGAAGGCCTCAGAGATTTAAGATTATATAACACAAGGATTTAACATCACATAACACAAATATCTCGACTACATCTACTATGAACTACCTAATAATATGCATATCACTGCAAATATGACATTTATTACATGTTAACCACATACTCACATTTCAAACCATATTCCAATGCAATGGACCTTTAAACATGTTATGAAGTTAAGTGACTTATCTCTTAGACACACACACACACAAACACACATACACACACATGGCTCCTTTGACTTTTTCTATTTTACGGACTGAAGTTTATTTCCAATTTAGACCCTTACCAAGAGCATTTTTTAGCAACTTACGGTACTATACATTTTTTTCCCTCACTGGGCCTAAGGACAAGCCACTCTTTAGTGCCAAATTTCTCACCTCTCAATGGGCTAGCATTAACATTGAATTCCCTTTCTTTTCTCTATCAATAAATTTAAACTAATCTCATAGGCATCTGCCAACACCCCTCCCCCAAACTTACGCAACACCAAGTATCAAAGAAAAAAGGTTTTAAGGCTCATACAACATGTAGTAATGTGTATTGTTAATACCTCACTTTACCTTCACAACATGTAGGGTTCCACATATCATATAAGTATGAGTGAACCCAACACAATTTACGTGGCACATTTAAGTCAAACTCATGTGACTATGTTTTATTTTATGCTTATTCCATAGTCACAACTAAGTGAAAAAGCATGGTATGCAAAGCAATATGGAAATACACAAGTTAAACAATACAATTTAAAATAGTCTAATTCTTACATGCTATAGATAATTAAACCATACTCATCCTAGGGCTTTAATCTGGATCATTTTTTTCTTTTCATTTTTTTTTTCTTTTTGTTTTTTTAATTTAATTTTTTTTAAAATACACAAAAAAGAAAGCGCTAAAGTTCATCCCGAAACTTAAAGCATACATTACTCTCAATGTATAAAATACAAAAGACAAGTAACTAAGGGTAAATAAATGAAAAGATGTAATTAAAAAACGATACTTCCTTGGAAATTTCAAAGTCGAGGACCGAAATTATTGGAGAAAACAAATAGATGAGTCCGTTGTAACTTCCGTCCAAGCATTTTCCATCACCATTTGATACAACACTTCTGAACTTCTAACCTAGTTGTGACACAAAAAAAAATTAGAAAAAGCCAAACCTAAAACTCTGTCAAAAAGATGATTAAGAATAACTGCAAAAATATAGAGAAATCAAAGATTTCAAGATAATCAGGAACAAAAAACTTGAACATAACCTTATTCATGAACCAAAAATAAAACTAAAACAAAATAAAACATCGGGTTACCACCCAATAAGTGTTTCTTTAAAGTCTTTAGCCATACTTTATGGTTGATCCATCAGAATATCTATCACGGTACCATAAGAAAGCAAGCTCAACAAAGATCATGAATCTCTCATAGTGGCTCTCCTTGTTATGAGTAAATATGAACTTAAACTCCAAGAACACAATATCCTCTTTCTCAAATTCAATCTTGTATCACTGATCCTCTTATTGGTCTTTTATTGAATCAACTTTTGCATCATCCACAAAATCTCTTATACAAAGGGCAAACTTGCCACCCTTCTTCCAAAACAATATAAGATTTTTCTTATTGAAATCAACTTGATCAACATCTTGGTCATCGACTCAAAATAAGCGAATCATGTTTTACTACAATGTGTATAGCAAATGACTCAAGAGAACTTGTAATATCTGAACTTTAAACTCTTTGATCTCTTGTAATTTTTCACATTCAAACTCAGCTTAAGATAGTGTATCGGCAAACTGGACCAATATTATCCTCATAAACCTCATCATCATTGTTTGAGTCACAACCATGTTTTTTGAAGTCGTACTCATAAG